CATCTCTCTTTACCAAACTCCCCCTTTGGAGAGGGATGGTGAGGGGTGAAAAAAAAAAAGAAGACTATAAAATAAAATCCACTACACTCTAGGTAAATTACTCAACAAACGAAAAAATACAACAAATAAAAAACAAGGGAAACCATTTACATGTACATATACATAAATTAAATAATAAGCAAGATAAGTTAAGCAACGCTGGAAATGATCAGATCTTAAGAATCGGAAAACAAACCTACGTTCAGCCGTGGGCTGGCCTTATTTCTGGATATTCCGAAAGGTAGTTTCCTAATAAAAGTGGAATGGGATAGTGCTCTAGATAGAAGCCCCCTCAGTCACAGAGTTCAGAATATGATAGCAAGTGGAACTATAACTTCTATAAAAGGGAGCTGCTCTAAAGTCAGAGTTGTCATCTGGTTATCGCTATCATAATCCATGTGGTGTTGTCGCATAGAGCAGTTCCACGTCAAACGACTGGTCGATTAAACCCTGACCTTCTTTGATTTGCATGAAACTTTATGAGCAATCATTCATATTTTTGCTAAGATTCGTCCTTTGTCAATTTTCATATAGGGTAAATGTTGGCTTCGGCACCCATTGACTGTTTTCGGCAACCAAAATTTAAACGTTAATTTCACTATGTTTTCCCATCAATGCACTTCCCTGATTGTGTCCAAACGATTGTTTAGCCTTTCAGCTTCAATCTGATTATATTTGAACGATCGAGCAATCCAGTAATGCTACATTTTTCTTCAAATAAAGCATACGCACTACAAAATGGGGTTGATTTCGAGTTGCCGATAATAGAACAGCTGGTTAACACGCAGTTCTAATGGGAAGGTTGCCGAAGAAAAAGAGGCTGCCGACAATAGTCACACTCACCTGAGAAGTTTGGAGCGTTGTAAAAACGCTTTCAAAACGTTTTGAAAAATTCTGTCGATTGGAATGGATAGAGAAGCAAGCAGTAGATGAATGTAAACAAACAGACACATCATATATGTGCGTGACGCTGAGAAAATGCTAGTAGAAGTGCAGACGCTGCTTAGATTGACGAGAATACGTAAATTCCCCTATTAAAAAAAGAAAGCTCATGAAAAATGCAAACTGTTGTGAGTGTTCACGTTTCAGTGTCGAGTAATTTTTAGAATATCGTGTAGAGTACTCGTTATTATGTTGAAAAATCATGGCAAGTAATGTTCGTGTATGTGTACAGTTTTTCTCCGTCAGTAAATCTCCCTGGTAGACCAGAGTAGAGTAGCCTACAGTATTACGCAGCCATCCACCCACCGTAGTCTACAAAACCCACCACCAGATGGAGTAAAAGCAGCATTTAGGCGGCCATGAGAGGTGACGACAAAAAAGGCCATTACAAACGGCATAACGGACACGATGACTGGACCCAAAGAACGTATTTCTAGGCTACATACACCGATCAGGTCTATCATCAAATAACCATCAAGGTAAACGGTCGATAGTCTCTGGTGAAATATAAGAAACATTACTGTGACAGAATATAGTGGAAGATAGTAAGAGGAAAGTGGAAAAGGGTGAGAGGAAAAAACGGACAGCAGGAAAATTCCCGGAATCACCATTTTGGTTCAAAGGTCCTAATGTGAACCGTTTGTCTGTTAGGACCCCGCTGTAAATTTTAAACAGAACCGCTGAGATACACCTGGTAGACGTACCGGTAGGCTACGCCAGTCCCCAGCCAAGTAAGAACAATTCCGGCACGAACCGCCGAAGCCGAGTCCGTCAACACACTCGGTGGCCCAGCCAGCATAAAAAGTGGAATAGCGCGCGAAGGAGATTTCCAACGCCGCCGAAGGAGAGAAGGAAGAAGGTGGAACGTGGAGCCGAGTGAAGCAGTCGTCGAGGAAACGTGGTGGTGGATCTGCAAGGGGCCCCGAAGAAGAAGGGAAAGACAACAGAAACAGGTCAGATAGGAATTAAGAAAGTGGGAGAGTTACATACGTAGGGAGGAATAGACGTGTTAGTATAATCCAACAATAAAAAGTGGTTATTTTGAATATTGAAGTGCTGTAGGAGTTTTTGCTGTATCCAGTGCGATCATTCCTTGCCACGTGGAACCTAGTTCGGTAAGCGTGCCGACCCTGAGGCCATTGTAGTCAGGGATTCTCAGGATCGCTCCCAACTGAGGTAATAAGCACTTACACTGTTTAAATATTGAAAACCATGGACACATGAAAATGTACACAGAATTTAGTTTCCTCTTATTAAAACTAGGGAATGGTTAAACTGGACTTCCTTGAAGATCTCAGAACTTTGCTGAAGTTTTCGGAAGTTTCCTGAGTTTTATGATATTTTTTTTAAGATCCTGCAACTTCCTTGAAGTTAATTCAACTGCCCAGAGGTTATCTGATATTTCATGATGTTCTGGAAGCTACCCTGATATTCTCGTAGTTCACCTAAAGATCTTGGTGCTGATGATATGATGATAGTGGCTTACCGCCCATTGTAGCACGGAAACTAAGTCCGACAGCACTGGGCTCTCTTCTCTGTTTGCCTTGATCAAGTTTAATAACCTTTGATTGTCCTCTAAAATCGGATTGGGTAGATCGATAGGCAAAGTCGCCTATACGCATCTACGGAACAATAAAGAATTTCTTTCCAGCAACTTGATCAGCCAATTAATTATATGATTTGAGTAGTAGCTATACTGAAGATCCGAGAGATGTCGCCCCTTCAGTGGTAGGAAAATCATTTTTGCAGTATGGAGAATATCAGAAAATCCACGATTTGTGACTAAACATGCTTTCACAGAAGGAAACAAATAAACGAGTGTTTACCTTATCACCATAGTAATGTACTCGTGCAATTTTTGTGCATCTAAAACTGCTCATAAAGACGATAATGAATAAAAACTGAAAATTTTCATGCATTTCCAAATGGTTTCCTACCATTCCCATACGTTCGAAAGTGACTGGCTCTCTGGATGTGGATGATGTCAAAAACAACAAAACATTATTAATTGGTCAAAAAGACAAGCCCCCAAACAGGAAGATGCCCCAATGAGTGGGGAGAAGAGCCCGCCTTTTATCCACGAAATGTTATCAACAGGGAGTTAGCATTCCCACTATCCCCATTCGCTTCAATCGAGTGCCCTGTTGGACCATCCCTTCCCTTTTATATATGTATTTCAATGCATATACGAGTTGATTGTTATGATTATTCTCAATAATACTTACATTTCAATGAAGATCGTGCTACTTATTTTACCTTTTTTGTGATACTTATCATCACAGAAACCAATCTTGAATCGTAGACCAGGTCCATCAACAATACACTCGTTCCGAGACGGGGCTCTGTGATAACGCCGTCTTCTTCTTCTTCTTCTTCATATTCGCTCACCACCCGGAATGCATGCATCGAAAAAAAGATACAACCAGGATTAGCTTTTTTTTAGTATAAGTAACAGTTTATCCGAATACCCAAGTTACCATATTGTGTCTCAGTGACATTGTCTCACTCTGAACCCTCATTCAATGTTACTTTGTGACTATTTGGTTACTTGGATACTCATATAAAATGTTGTGCAAGTAAACTACCACTAGTTCAACAACGCCCAATTATAGACAGCTCAATGTTTATTTCATCCATTCTTTGAATCAGCGAACACCAACTTGATTATCCGCAAGGAAATACCAAAGAATGTATAGAGGTAAATCTCAAAAACACAGTTTTAACTGATAGTACTTTATAAACATCAAGCCGTCCCCACATCAGAATGGTCCATCGGTTGCGAGTTGCAATATTTAGTTCACCTAAAGATTTTGGTACTGCCCTGAAATTAATTGAAATGTCCTTTAATATCTTAACTTCCCAGAAAATCTCTGGACTTGTGTTAAGGTCCCTACATATGTTTCAAATTTTCTAAAATTTTCAAGAGTTTTGTGGACCTCCCTGAAATTCCTGGAAATTTGTAAAGTTTTTCAAAATATTAATGACGTGCATGGTTGCTGTCCTAAATTTATCGAAACTAAAATCTCCTCTGGTTAAATTTTGAGCTATAGTTGCCATATGCATTGAAATTTGCTCAAAAGCTTGTATACAATATTGCAGGTTAATGCGATATTGCGCATAAATTTACATGAAATATCGTGTAAAATTACGCCACATCTCGGTTTTAAATACTGTTCCATGACATAGGACTAGTTACGGATACAGCAACCCATTTAGCTCCTGCCTTAGGGCTTTTAGCAATATTAGTAACTGTTTTGGCTTAAATCAGTAGCGTTTCCTTAACCTCAATCTACCTGTGTACCAACTCTCAAAACATAAACAATAATCAAAATATTGGTTGCAATGGATAGATATCGAGTAAACTACACCGTTTGAAAATTTCATGTTAATTTCTGCGAGATATAGCGCGCATAAGTATAGCTCAAAATTAAACGAAAGGAGATTTTACGCGATAGTTGAAATTCAGAATATTTTTTTTTGTGTAGAAGATTATGTTTTTTTTCAACCGATTCGAGTATGAATATGGCATTAAATCTAATTTTGAAAGTTGGTGTTCAGGTAAAAAGTGAGGTTACGAGACGCCACTGACTTAAATATAACTAAAAATTATTTAAAAATAGTATTAGGAACGTAGTCTGTGCGACATAACAATAAACAACAAATCCCTCTTCAAGGGAAGAACACCGAACCGCTGCGGAGATAGGCCAGTCGTGTTCACCACTTAACCACCGGCGCCATCTATATTTTATGCATTATTCTTTGAATCCGTACTTGAAAAAGTTGGTCCACTAATGCGACTCTAAATAACTAACATGACAAGCAACAACTGTTCAACTTTTTGCAAAAAAAAACCATTCTCACCGCCGTAAACTTAATGATATTCACTTGTTTTCAGTCTTGTTTGTCTGCAGCTCGTAAAAATCCCATTTAGCTTAGAATTTTCGCTCACTCAGAATAGCCAAAACACACACACACAATTTCCTTATGTTTCTCACTCATTTTATCCCGTTTTTTCACAGCTGCGACGAAGACTCCGCCAGCGATTACGTGGAGTTTTCTAATTTTATCACCCGCGATCGCAAGTTCCTGATGTACTGCGGCCTGCGAAGGGACCTGATCGTGCGATCGGATGGTAGGTTTTTCCGCGTCACCATGGTGTCGAACGACCGGCTGGATGGGACCGGATTCAGGGCATTGTACGCGTTCGAGAGCACACTCAACATGATCGGACCGGGCAGTGGGCCGGTGGGAAGCGGAGGCAACGTAGGCGGGGTGGTCGGAGCGGCCGGTGTTCCCTTCATACCCGGTCACCATTACCAGCCGACGACGGCGGCGACGTCATCGGTGACGGATCGCAATGTGGCGTCGGTTGCGAAGGTCACCAGCGGGAAGCGCGGCGGAATCATGGCGGCAGCGGGTGACCGGTTAGGTGAGTAGATTTTTACATTTTAATTGGCTTTTCCTTGGCAAACATGTTTCATTAATTTAGGCGATCCATAAATTTGTTTTCCGATCCAAAAATAAGCAGAAAAGTTCACAAACCGCAAAGGTGATAAATAAAGTGCGTCGCAGCAAGCCATTGCATGCTGCTCCCATCGTGCCATCGCAATGTGCGATTTTCAAAAGAAGAAACCGCTCAAGAGAAGTAGGCACTTGCAACCCATAAAACGCACACATACACACACTCATGAGAATGCTATCCGAAATTGAAACAAATTCACCCCGCGAACGCGACTTCAAGCGTTGCATAAATTTAAATGGTTGACATAAACCAGGGGAAGCTGTGCAAAGATGAAGAATAGGAAAAGCGAAAGCCCAACCTCGGGAGGCGCACGCGGAAATTCGATTTCGAATTCGCGTCGCCAAGCTGATGGGATGGGTGTTTTTTCGTGGTTGGACGGTTGCCTAACCAAGGGCGCAGAAGAATTTCGGTTTGCTGTTTTGGGTGGGAAACATTTCAAAGTTGGAACGGCGAGGTCGCATGGTACCTACGTGATTGCAATCGTAGTACCCGAGGCGAATGTAGTGGAGCGTGGTGGAATTTAGTCGCAACAAGGCTGTATTTTGCTAACGGTTATTGAATAATCGATTATTTTATCGTTGATTATTGATATCGACTAATCGATCTTTATTTGTGTCAGGAGGTCAATTCCTCCCTCCCTAAGGACTTGAGGCAAATTTAAAATTGTATTGCTACTGATAAAATATTTAAATTTAGGCCAGAACAAATCATAAGTTTTTCTTTTGTCACTCGATGATCAAACCGTATATTTCAAACGTTTACATTACTTCTTAGCCTTCGTTTATAGTCTTATACTTCTTTGAAGCCGTGATTTTTGACACTAATGCATAACAGGAGCCACAAATGTTGACTGTATTTTGTAAAACACTCGGGTTATCAACAAGACATTTTGCGCATAAGTTTTTGCATCCTTTCATGGAAGAACATTGGTAATAATGCAGATCAATAGAATCAAAGCAACGGATTTTTGGGTTTTAATAAATTCCGGGTAAAGCATCAAGCGAAATACCACAAAAGAAATAGTACTTATAAAAAAAACGTTTGGTTTTCGATAGTTCCTTTTTATTTTAATATAACATGGCAGAACAGGAAACCCAAATTGATATTACAATACCTACCCAACTAACAATTTTAGCTGCAGATTAGCTTATACAGCCAAAAATTGGCTTATACAGCTAATTTTTGCCTGTATAAGCTAGTCTGCAGCTAAAATTGTTTGTTGGGTACTTTGTAAACCCAGTTTTCTCAACAATTGGGCGTGTTTCAAAAAATCCAACTAGACGTATGAATTCAGGAAGGTCTATTCTACAAAATCCAAGCGTAATATTCAAAGGAAGGAGCCAAAATCTATCTTGGCTGAGCATAAAACCGAAGACAACAAATCAAGAAGACTGGCAACTTTGCTAGAATCCAAGCGACAGATACAGTAGCGCTGCGCTTGAGTGAAGGTGGAAGCAACGCATAGAAAAATGAGCAAATTCACAAACCCAGGATGTAATCTTTGCTATCAAGTTCGTTCGAAGCATTTACCTTTGAGCGGCAGATGACGCGATTGTACCTGTCTCATAGCGTTGCATGAAGCATGAAGCATGATTGACCGCCCACGGTTGCTGCTCTGTTATTACCAGATCAGCTGCAATTACACAGAGAACCAACAGATGATGTTTGGGACTAACATTCATCCTAAATGTGTAAGAACTGGTGATCTAATATTTTAGCAATACCAGCGCCGGCCGTGTCCGAATGCAGGTCAACTAGGGAATGGGAAGGAATGTGTTGACGTGGTACTCGCTGTGAAGGAAACCGAGAAATCCTCTGCGCTTCCACGAGAAATCACTGGGATGTTGGATGTGGGGAAAGGTTGCACAAGCACACGCAGGGATCGTTTTTGGTAGAGCGATTATAATACACAAACACACACACACGCGCGCGAACTCATCAAATTTCTATTTTTAGATCAGGAACCAAACTGTGGTAAGTGATGCGATCGGTGTTAAAGAAGAATTTGTTTTCATTAAAATCTAGTGGGTATAGAATAAGGCAAAGTGAAAAATTGCAAGGAAGGGGACGGGCCTGGGATTGAACTCCCGACCTTCTGCTCAGTAAGCAGAAACGGTAACCACTGAGCTACCGAGCCTCGTCAATACCTGTCTCATAGCGTTCGTATGAGAAAATGGAAGAGTTGCCAGTCTTCTTGATTTGTTGTCTTCGATAAAAACCAAATCTTAACAAAAATACGCACAGCTTTCCCCCGAAGAGCGCGAGTAATACGTACCGCGTAAATAGAATTCGCGTAAATGGAGTACATATGAGATTTGACCTAATAGGGACCAACATGGAATATCTCGCGATCCTGGACATATAGAAGGTTACTGTCTTGGGCAAAGTTGTTCAGCGGATCAAGATCTTATCGTTGGTGGACAGAAGTTTGGAATGTTCTCACTATGCGGCGCTAGTGAGCATGAATTAATGATGCCCTTGTTTGTGTGATATCTTGAAATCCTTGACATTTAGGAAGTTCCTTTCTTCGGTGAAGTTGTTCAGTGGGTCAAGACCTTATCATTGGTAGACAGAAAATTGGAATTTTCTCACTACGCGGTGCAACATGAACATGAATTTGTGATATCCTTGTTTGAGTGATATCTTGAAATCCTTGCCATCTAGGAAGTTGCTTCCTTGGGCGAACTTGTTCAGTGGATCAAGACCTTATCGTTGGTGGACAGAAGTTCAGAATTTTCTCAATACGCGGCGCTAGTGCACATGAATTAATCATGCCCTTGTTTTTATGATATCTTGAAATCCTTGTCATCTAGGGGGGCGACTCTATCTACGATGCAGGAAATATTGTGTTTTGCTGTGGCTGAGTAGATAAAAAGAAGATTTTGAAGATTTATTGCAAAAAGATGATGCGTGATGCAAGTAGATGCGAGAAATGAAAGAAGATTTTTCGAAGATTTATTCGCTAGTGTGAGATTTTTTGAGCATCTAGAATTGAGATTTAGATGTGTCGCCCCCCTCGCTAGGAAGTTGCTTTCTTCGGCGACGTTGTTCAGTGGATCCAAGACCAATATGGATGGAATATGGATATTTCCGGCATCGGTATGACGCCTAAAACCCGTAAATCGATTTCCGACGCCATTTTTGAATCTAATATGGCGGCGTACAATTTCAGAAAAAGTGAGAAATACGGCCAAATCCCCTTCTATATGGGTATTTTCGGAATCGGGATGACGTCTAGAGAACAAAAATCGATGCCCAGCACCATCTTGAAATCAAAGATGGCGGCTGCCGATATAAGAAAAAGTGGGAAATACTACCAAATACCCTTCAATATGGGTATTTCCGGAATCGGGATGACGTCTAGAGACCGAAAATCGATATCCAGTGCCATTTTGAAATCCAAGTTGGCGGCTTACAATTTCAGAAAAAAGTGGAAAATACTACCAAATACCCTTCAATATATATACTTTCGGAATCGGGATGACGTCTTGAGACCGAAAATTGATGTCATCTTGAAATCAAAGATGGCGGCTGCCGATTTCTATAAAAGTGGGGAATACTGCTAAATACCCTTAAATATGGATATTGTCGGAATGGGGATGACGTCTAGAGACCGAAAATCGATGCCCAGCGCCATTTTGAAATCCAAGATGGCGGTTTCAGAAAAAGTTGGAAAATCTGTAAAATACTCTACAATCTGGATATTTTCGCAACAAAGACGACGTGTAGTTGTCGAAAATTGAAATGCCGAAACGGCGTCAGCGTTGACAGTTTTTTAAAAACAGGACTGCCATCTTAGATTCCAAAATTGCGTCGGACATCGATTTTGAGCCTCTACATATCGTCCCCGTTCCAAAAATGCCCATATTGTGGGGGTATTTTACATTACTATCCAGTTTATCTGTAACCAGAAGCTGACATCTTGGAATTCAATATGGCATCGGAGAGTAATTATCACCGCGATTCCCAAAATACCCACATTCAGGGTACTTTTCCTGTATCCTGTAGCTGCCATTTTGTATTTCATGACACTCATTTCTATTTCTAGATGTCATTCTCTAGACGTCATTACTTTTCCAAAAATACTCATATTGAAGGGTATTTGACAGTATTTCTATCTTTTTCTGATACCGGAAACCACCATCTTGGATTTCAAAATGGCGTTGGACATTGATATTCGGCATCTACATGTCGTCTCAAAAAATCCATATTATTGGATATTTGACAGTTTTTCTGAAGTCAATGGCCGCCATTTTCCATTACAAAATGGTGTCAGGCATAAATTGTAGTACTTGTTCCGAAAATACCCATATTGTAGAGTATTTGGCAGTTTTTCCGAATCTGAGAGCCGCCATCTTGGATTTCAAAAATGGTATCGAACAGCGATTTTCGGCATCTACACGCGTTCTGTACCGAAAATATCCATATCGTAGAATTTGACTGCTTTTCAGAAAACAACAGCCGCCATCTTGGATTTCAAAATTGCGTCGGACATCAATTTTCGGGATGTACACGTCGAACCAGTTCTGAAAATATCCATAATATAGGGTATTTGACAGATTTTCTGAAGTCACTGGCCGCCTCTTGGAATTAAAAATCGCGTCGGACATCGATTTTCGGCATCTACATGTCGTCCCCGTTCCGAAAATATCCATATTTTTGGGAATTTGATAGCTTTTTTCTGAAGTCAATGGCCACCATCTTGGATTCAAAAATGGCATCAGGCCTCGATTTTCGGGATGTACGCGTAGTACTTGTTCCAAAAATACCAAAAATTGATAGTTTTTCTGAATCTGAGAGCCGCTATGTTGGATTGCAAAATGGTGTCTGACATATATTTACGGGATGTACACGTCGAACCCGTTCCTTAAATACCCATATTATAGGGTATATGACAGTTTTTTAGAATCTGAGAGCCACCATGTTGGATTACAAAATGGCGTTGGACATCGATTTTCGATCTCTAGACGTCATCCCGATTCCGGAAATACCCATATTGAGGGGTATTTGGTAGTATTTCCCACTTTTACTGAAATCGGCAGCTGCCATCTTTGATTTCAAGATGGCGCTAGACATCGATTTTCGGTCTCTAGACGTCATCCCGATTCCGGAAATACCCATATAGAAGGGTATTTGGCAGTATTTCCCACTTTTCTGAAACCGGAAGCCACCATCTTGGATTTCAAAATGGAGCTGGACATCGATTTTTGGTCTCTAGACGTCATCCCAATTCCGAATATATCCATATTCTATCCACACATCACTGTTGGCCGTTCCTGAGGAGGTAAGGAAGAAGAACAAATTCGCTAAAAAGTTCTTGGTTTGGCAGGCCATCTGTGGGTACGGCAAGATAAGCCAGCCGTATATCACGACGGGTACCATCAACGGGTAAATCTACCTCCAGAAGCACCTCCCATCCTTCCTGCGGTCTCACGGAGGTGAGATGCTATTTTGGCCGGATTTGGTACAGAGACAACAATGTTGCTTTTGTACCAAAATACGTCAACCCACCAACTCGCTGGAACTTAACCCTATTGAGAAGTTTTGAGCCATCATGAAGACCAGACTTCGTAAAACACCTAAGGTGTTGGAGAATGCTCTGGCTTTGAATAAACAGTGGGTAAAAGTATCAAAAGAAGTCGGACCCACCATTGCGCAAAACCTTATGAGGGGTGTCAAGAGCAAGGTGCGGATATTCGGTTATGGATCGGAGATCCAATAAAGCAATGAAGTAGAATCCTAACAATTTGTATTTAATTCCCTGAAAGTTTGAAGGAATCCGATTTAAAATTAATTTTTGGTGACCATTTTTGTTTGTCTCACTTTTTTCGAGTACAGTCTTTACTCACAGCAATTGCCAACAACATTGCCCAAGACACCAAACCGATCGGAAAAACCGTTCTCGAGTAACAGTTTTCTGAAGATACGGTTAATATTTTCTATTATGCCCTTTTCAAAAATAAGACTTGATTAAAAATGGCGATTTCAAGATGGAAAATAGCACTTTTGCGGCAGCACTGGATTAGCGAATTAGTATGGAACCGATCAACATCCAACATCCCAAGTCACAACAAATTCCTTGAATCAATTGCTTGACCCAGCTGTTCGCGGGCGATCGAGATACAAAGATGGATCATGTCATGTATTTTCTGAAAATTTTCCATCATTTCATCCCACATTGTTAAAGCAATTTCCTCCGAAATTTTTCAATACCCGCAACCCGTCACGCGTTTCCCTTTTTGAATATTGTCATCTATCAGCCAGCAAAATCCTTCATTCTCACTTCAATTCCCACCGAAGACCAAGCTTCGCTCAATCAGAAAATTCCCCACTGCCCGTGTGTCACGTTTTCCGGTGTCCCATTTCTACCTGTACCCCAGTCACTCCCACCCCGAGGCCCACCGTTTGTGATTTGATACTTTTATTTATGCCACACACCGCAGAGCCACCGACTGCCGCATCGTGCCGCTATTCAAATAACAAATTCTCTTATTTATTCACAGAATTCCACTCCAGCACCTTGCTTCTGACAGGCACGACGATGTGGCTGCTGTTCGCGTCACAGCCGGCCATGAATCTTCTGCTGCTGCTTCCGGCCCTGTTGCTTCCACCGATCCTAGTAGACTGACGATGAGCATCACCTTGTCGCCTGGCACCGAATGCCGCTGTTTACTGCGATGACAGCAGCCACGAGAATGCGGAAAGTGCGGGATTAGTATAAATACCTACGAACATTCAACAGCCTTCGCCGAATGGAGATCCCAGACGAACACTTTCCGGTGCCATTTTTTTCCCTCCTGAGCCAAACCCTCAAGCTGATTAGGGAATCAGAAAGCAAATAATTAAGGTGTCGTGCTGACGAAAATGTATGCAATCCACTTGGCAGGTCGAAGATTGTTCACCGGAGTCTGGTAAGTCTGAGCTGTTTTTGTACAAAGAAAGACATTTTTTTTCTTCAAATCATTCACTAATCAGAACACCGCTATCACATGTGATAAACGTACGGAAAATGGAGCACACAAAGTTCTCCACGACGACGCAACATTATAATTGTATGTACACTCGACGAGAAAATGGAGAAAACCTAATTTTGTCCTCCCTTTGATCATGACCTACTACTTAATTGTGATAGCGAAAAGAAGAAACACTCATGTACGTACACAAACATACACACACAAAAATGAAACCTAGCAACCTACGTGGAAAAATGGAACGCGAAATCAAATAATGAAACCACAAACCGTAAAGAGAAAATTGGCCGCTCCTAGCCGAGGGGCAAACTGAATAAAACTATTTCGTACATTTCCGGTTTTTTATGCATAGAAAAAAAATGCAATTTCCTTCAATTTATTTACCTTTCGAAAGCCCTGCCAGTGCTTTTTCAAACTCTAATGGATTTCAGAGGGAAAAAAAAGCGCAAACAACCGCAAACCACCCCCGCCAGCAGAAGGATGAAGGCCTTTCGATGAACCTTGTGTGGAGCTGCCGTTCGCGGAAATGCTCGTACTTGCATGAAACGCTACACACACATACATACTCGCACATATAGCCTAAAGGAACTCGAAAAGTTTAGGAAAAACCGCTCATTAAGATACCCCAGTGTATGAACTCATTTAGGTTGCCAAGTGGCGACGCAGTGTGTAGAAAGGAAAATTCGAGCCGGTCAATTAGAGCGAAGTCTGTTGAGGTTGGTTTACGGTTTGTATATTCTGACTCGTATGTTTTCCTGAGGGTCCGAAATGATTCCAGTTAAAATTAATGATCTTCATCGTTGAGAGCGTTGGGCTTGATATTTCACGAGCAAAGGACAGTAATGGAAAACAAACTCCCAGGAAAATTAAATGATTTCATCAGCATCAGATCCTGATTCGGCATAATGTTGATGACCATTTTCACAACCTTCCCTCCCTGATGCCTAGCCACTGCTATAATCAAATTGATGCAAATAAAGTAAAAGAATGCCGCGAACGCTCGCATCTCAGTAGGCCGTTTTTCCCTCGCCAATTAATTTATTTGCAAACAAGCACGATGCGATAAAGGTTGCCAGGCAGTCGCCACATCGAGCTTGTTTTATTATCATTTTTTTTTTTTCTTCTTTTACTCCTTCTGCCAAGTGACGGCGATTTCCATTGTTATAATCGGCGGCGGCGGCTGCCATCGTTCACTTCTGCTAACGAAGTGTGAAATTGATGTTGATTTTAATTATGAATAATCAATTACGCACAGGGCCTGGCTGGATGGTGCTATTGCAGTAGTAAGGCATCATTATTATGCAGCGCGAACGTTTACGGTTTTTTTTTCTTTTGTAAACTGAACTCATTTGCAAGTGATTATGCGGCTAACCGACAAAGTAACCGAAATTAAGTGCAATTAAGTGATAATGATTATGCTCAACTGATTTGACTTCAGTGTTTGCAATGGACAGGGAAAATTAATCTGAAATTATGATCGAGAACACATGGTATTTGCAACTACAACAAAAACAGTATTCATCCACCTATGGTGAGATCTTACCCTTCTTATTTACTTGAATTTCACACGGCCAATGAGAATAACTCAGAGGGAGCCACTTCTACTCAGTTGTATGGAACTCAGCGCTGAGTAACTGCAGGTTTAGAAATTTCTCATACAGCTGACTCTCTCTCTCTCTCTCTGAGTTATTCTCATTGGCCGTGTGTTGCACTGATGCTAATTATGATAAACAGGGATGCTATAGATTTCAATACATGTCTTCATTTTGACGTTTCATATTTTGTTAAGACTTTTGAAGTTATGTGAAGAATAAAATGTATTTATAAATTAATAGTTATTATTATCATTATTATTTCAAACAGCATCTAGGAAATGGCAATTTTGAACACGCAACTTTCAAAACTGATAAGAGAAAATCTTAAATGATGTGTTCATACTTCAAGGAAGACGCGCTAGATACTTAAATCATTTCATAGCCATTAAATTTTGAAAAAAAAAAATTGATGCTTCACCAATGAATTTATGAATTTACGCTCAATTTGGAATATCGGGTATTATTTTAAATATCAGATCTAAACAAATGTTAATGTGCTGAAGTTTGAATAATTTGCGAGACAGGTCGGTGGAGGTTGAGTGGACAGTGGTCAGATCGCCCATGCAGCAAAACACCTCCATCATCGCCCTACCATATCGGTCACTTTAGAAGTGATGTTATGGAGCTATCTCTCTTCACAACACTGACCCTACTCTTACACCAATTGAATCCAATGGTACCAACCGGTAACAGATTACTGAAAAATCCTGTTCCCCTAGTTTGAAGTTGTCAGGACTAGGAATCGGTGGTAGATCTTACATCCCGCAACGTACCACGAAAAGGTAATCTACCCACGTTATGGTGCAAACATCTTAGAAAGGTGAAGGGAACCCATACTACTTATATACATCTAAATATTAAAGGGACCATCGGATTGTGCACTTTTTGGAGAATTTGATATTTGTTTAGCAATTGAAATAGTAAACATATTTAACAGATTGAACTATAGTATACCTTAAGTGGTTCACTAAAAATTCCATATTGTGGTCACAACTCCTAATACATTCCGATGAGATGTCTATGATTGTTTTTGGAAAAAATGGGAAGCTCTAGGATCAGTTTTATGAAGTTCCGTTAGTTTATCTGGAAGTTCCGGATTTCCTGGAGGGCCATCCTTTAGATCCCAGGACCCATTTTTTGCTCACAACTCCGAATTAATATTGATAAGGCTTCTGTGAAGAAATTAGAAAAAATCGTTAAGATCTTTTTTTTTTCCTTGGATTTATTTTCCGTCGATCTTGTTTTCCGTGGGAGGCAGCTCCCACTCCTGGACGCTGCCTATCGACCCATCAACTCATGAACCGGGGACCAACGGCTTTACTTCCCTTCCAAAGGAAGGCGTGATCAGAGATGTTATGCCTCAGAACATGCCGGCGGCACCGACTGGGATTGAACCCAGGCCTGCTGGGGTGAGAGGCAATCACGCTTACCACTACACCACCGGTGCCGCTAATGCTAAGATCTAGAGTCAGTTTAATGAATTTACCAATTTTAAGGATGTTTTGGATTTTCCAGAGGTCCATTCCGTGATCCCCTGGGTCCGAAATTCGTGTGACTGCTTTTGAAAAAACCACGGAGCTCTAGGATCAGTTTCAGGAATTGACCAAGTTTATGGATGTTCCGGATCTTGCGGAGAACTATCCCGTAGTCCCCAGAATTCACATTCCGGTCACAATTCCGAATTCATTCTGATAAGATGCCTATGAGTAGTTTCGACAAACCTGCGGTGTTCTAGGATCGGTTTTATGAATTAACCACTTTTACGGATGTTGCCGATCTTTTAGTGAACCAATCCGTAGTCCCCAGCATCCATTTTCTGGTCACATCTCCACATTCATTGTGATAAGACATCTAAGAGTGGTTTCGTGACATCGCCGTTGGAATCTGTTTCATGAATTGACCACTTTTACGGATGTTCTAGATTTTTTGGAGGACCATAGCATAGTCCCCAGAGTCCATATTCCGGTCACAACTTCGAATTTATTCTGATAATACGTCTTTGAGTGGTTTCGAAAAAAAAACCTCAGAGTTCTAGAATCGGTTTAATGAATTGACCAGTTTTGCAGATGTTCCGCATATTTTAGTGTATCATCTCACCCAAGTAACAATTCAGTAATCATTTAGCATCCACTCTGATTTATGATGGTTTTATAACGGCAATGAACAATCCATTTAGTTTAAATATAGCATTTCAAAGTGTAGAACATTCCTGTTTAGTAATTCAGCTTTTTGCTGTTTTAAAAACCTTTTATAGTCTGGCAAGATAGTCTTGTTTTAAAAATAAATTTAAACAGTTATCAATCCCTCCTTAAAACTGTTCTGTAATTCAAGCATAAACGTCATTAGCAATTGTTTATTAATGTCTTGATAAAATCCTTTATAAACTTCTATTATTATAAAAGCAACCATAAAACCATTAGGTTTTGCATTAGAGCAAAATGGCATTTATTGTTGCTTTTTAGACTTTTTAAAGTGAATCATTAACTCCCCAATTACTCTGTTTACAAATTGAGCTTAAAATATGGTTCCTCATAGCTAATAAATGCCAAATTTATGACAAGGAAATCTCGAAGGATAGACGAAGTAGGATGAAAAATTCAAGTCGATTTCAGCAAAGTTTACTTCTTTAGAAGAACCCGCACATCATCAACGACTGACCATCTGGCGGAGAAGAGTAAAGTGAGCGGGCCCTCGAATTCATAAAACATTTTCGAAAGTAGAAAAACATACCAGCCTTCTTCAGATCTTGCGAATAGATGACAATCGAAATAACAACCGACAGCAAACCACTGAAACTGTTAGTTAGCGGAGATTAGCTGGTTTCCGATCCATAGCAGCGATTTTATTCGGCGAAAGAATCAACTCTTCGAAAATTTCATTCAAGCGTACATCCCTGCATCGTTCGATGGTGCACTTCTGTAACCATCCGGAAGAAGGGGATCTTTTTCGGGAACGATTGCGCTTCCAGCTGTTCGAAATGCGAAATGTTGTAAAACAGTATCGCAAACTATCTAAGTAACTGCTCCCAATCCATCGGGAGAAAACCGCATGGAAGAATCCTTGATCTCACAGCGCACCTATCGAAAGATAAACAAACTTTGACGTTTAACTTTTTGCAGGCGGAATCCGGAGGCGAACCAGCCCAAGGCTGAAAACCTCCTTAATAATGAAAACCTAACCTAACCTGATCTTTTTGCAGGCAAC